AAAAACTTTATAACCAAATCCGAAGCGATGGTATCAAAAATAGTTTATGTATTGAGTGAACAATGAGTAGTAGCATACCGCGTCTCGATTCTTATAATTCACCAACTTGCCACAGTAATCCTAGCTCAAAAACTGCTATAATCTAGACTAGACTATAATTACAAGAAAACATTGTAGAACAGCAATTAAATGTTGTTATTAAGCCTTCTAGGTTTGCACAAGGATAATATAATTAATTCGAATGGGTGAACATACCGCGTTTAATGTCGTGTTCAGTGTAAAATGTGCAATAAATCACTTGGCAAACACTTTAGAAGTGTGAACGGGATCTTAATGGCCACAGCATTAATAGATCTGCATAACGTTAATCAAACTGAAACTATTTGGAGCGGGTTTGCAATTAGCCCCTTTTCTAAACTTAGTAATACTTATCTCTTACAACTTCTGTGTACCTAGTACCACCCACCAGTGTAGTAATTTAGAAATACCTAGTAGTGCTACATCGACATTTCTAATTCTTGATTAGATTGTAATTATTCACTAACGCTTTTAACCTTTAATTCTGATATTGTGACATTAGTTTGCTATTTGCAAATAAGTAGAAATAGAATTTTCATTGCGAAATAAAACTATGTATTTATTTATGCAGGGCCTATGATTACAAACTATTATGCTAGATCATAAGGATCATAGAGAACAGGGAAGTGTTTAATATTTTCGTTGAAGATGGTACCTTATTTATGGACATTTTTACTCACCCAATGTAACAAACATGATCTTATGTTTCATAAAATTGAATATGTTATGGCTGACTCATTCTATGCACTGATAAAATCATACAGCGATCACCATCTGTCTGCCAACGTGTCGAGTTCGTCATTTTGTTGCTGGAACCTTTTGTTATGCCACGTAAATCAACCATAGAGGTCGGCTATAAGAGCTTTATCGATGGATAATATAATGTTTACGCTCCTTTGCTTGCAGGAAAAACAAAGTTTGTACCTGTTACTCATAAAAGGTGTGTCGATATCGGTGAAACTTTTACGATAACAACCTATTTGTTGCTACTTCATCACCATAGCCTTGTTTCGAACTTGGTCTTTTGTTACGTGAAGATTAATTGTTGACAACACACAATTTTTTCTTCATATAGCTCCATAAATCAATGATGGAGTGTGGGGCAAGTTTATGTAAACACTACACGAACAGATGGTCTGAATTATTCCGTAACTTTCATCTCGTGTACACAGATATGGAGCAGGGAATGTTATTATATGGAGTGACGTATCTCGCGTCTGAAATGTGGATTGCAAACGTATGTGAGCCCTAACAAGTGGGTTTCAAGTTGAACCAAACATCCTCTCGGTGGATTAAAATCTTTGTAAATATTGCCGGTGACACCCCTGTGTGCATGGCCGCACAATGGAGTGTCAATTGAACTGGACCCGAGGACCGTGCGCAGAGAATTTATAACATCTGTACTGGTACTCCAACCGTGTGACATGTTAGTTGAGAACCATCTAAATGTTTATTTTGTAAACGATTTGTAGAGCCAATATTTTAATTAATTTCTTGCACTCCGAAGGGTTATGGTATATTCAACTCCTTTCGAGTGTGTATACGAATTAAAATAATGCGTTGCCGTAATTGATATGGCCTCCAGAACTGGCAAGTTAGAAATTAAACACACAGTTATTAAATGAAGTTTTCTTCATTCGGTTTAATAATTTATTCGGATTCCATCACCGCGGCACAATTAGCAGCTGCGCTTGAGGTCCAAGTGAAAATTAAGCGCTGCGAGCGCTTTATCGCTTGGAACGATGCAGCGATGTATTGCTGTGGACAACATTTTATTTCGCTGTAAACACGTGCAACTTTACATTCATGTTTCGAGGTTTACTGGATATAAAATGAGTTTGTATGTTATTTAGTTCAGTTACAATTGTTCGGTTTACTGGAGTTTTATAAGAGTGTTATTTGGCTATTGTATTACTTTGTTATGTTGTTAAATATTTCGTGAGTGACCATGAGGATCATGATAGAGTGTACATAATCTGTAACTCAACTCAACAACTCAACTCGACTTTTGAAGGACTAGGCCTACGCTACTGCAAATTTTTGTATGGTATAAGATTACTTTCTACCAGTATTATTCAAAAAGTGAAGATCATTATGAAACACTTACAGAATAAAAAAAAATCTTGGTCATATGTAGTAACCATCTCATTAATTTTTAAGTTTTTCTCGAGTGAAACTAAAACTCGTATTCAAAAGTTACATTTTTTAAACTTCAATTTCAACATCGAAGCAGTATAGTTAAATAAAAAATAGATTTAAAGGTATCTGATGAAAGTTGAAAGGTCAAATACAGTTAATAATTACATAATGTCAAGATCTTGCCTTCAGAAAGTGAGTTATCCGTCTTGAGGGACGGAAGCCGTTGGTCAAACATTTAAACTTTGACGTTCAATGTCAGAGAAGTAGAAACTTTGTAATTGAAAACTTAAGTAAGGGGTTTATCATGAAAGATTCGTTAAGTAATTTTTTGTTTTATCTTTAAACGTTTAATGGTAAAGAAACTATAAAAGATTTGAGACTTTTAATTATGTTTTCGGGATCTATAAAACATAAAAAGAAAGAAAGAAAGAAAAATCATTTATTCGACAGTAGGCACACGCACACAGATACAAAAAATACAAAATTAAAAAAGAGAAGAACAAATAAATACACTTATATAAACAGATATAGAAAAAAACACAAAGAAACGACAACGTATAAAATAGCAAAAAACATGTCTGATAGATTCATTAAGTAGGTATAACACATAGTTTATTTTTGTTTTATAATTCCTTAATTTTATATAGTTGATAATACAGTAATACAAACCTGTATAGACTTAACATACATAGTAATAAAGTGATGACTTGAAACACAGGTTGCATAAACCTAGTTCAAGCAAATCGCGACAAATATTAGTATTAGTCCTATTATTTTTCTGTCCATAATTTTAAGCAAAATAATGTATTATTATTATCTAGTTAATAGTCTAGTATAATTTAACTTTAATATTGTAATTAAAAAAGAAATCATACTGTAAGTGGAGTATATACAAATAAATTATTCTTATTCTTATTAACTAAAAATCGCGGAGTACTCTCGTGAAAATATTGAGAAAAGCTCTACTAGTTTCGAACCACAGAGGGGTTCATCCTCATGAGTAGCGTGCGCGGGCTATTTTACGCAGCCTACTGACATCGCCATATCACATAGTTAATTTACAATGTCTCACGATGTCTGATAGAATAAATATTACGCCTGTAATTCACGGAATGCTTTGCAAGGGTAGAGCATTGGTGTAAAATATAATAAATAGATATGATAAATTCCGCACCATTCCTTAATATTTAAACATTTTTTTTATACATGATCTAGCTAGCTCTCAGTCAGTCCAAAATGAGTATGAGTAAAAATCCTTTTCTAAATTATTCCAAAAGTTTTCTTTAAAGTGTCGGGCGTAAAGGAACCCTTTGCATTTTTCGTACCCTTATTTCTTTGATAGTAATACTATGCAAATGATTTTTCCTCGTTAAAATATAATTTTATGCTACATTTTTATTTTAAAGGCTTAGAAATATTTGCTAAAGGCGCAAGTGCGACTGGCAGCGACTACTAAGCATGATGTTGCGTTAAATGCTTAGGTTGGCCACTGTTATATAGAACTTTGCGATTAATACCGATTACATCGTATGGTACCTAATTGTAATTATGTAGTCTTAATGGCCTCGTTGGCCGAGTTGTTGCAAGTGCGACTGCCGAGCAAGGGGTCTCGGCTTCGATTCCCGGGTCGGGCAAAGGATTATTGGGTAAAAAAAATCTCAGTAGTAGCACGGAGTCTGGAAATGTGCCCGGTATATGACAATAGGCTCACCTCCTATTACATGGGACTCATAACATAAATAGTGAAGAGTGGGTGTTACTTCTGTGTGCACCTCTGCGTACCCCTTTGGGGATAAAAGGCGTGGTTTGTTATGTTATGTGTCTTAATGGCTCCTTTCTAATTTTAAAATTACATTCGTACCTACTATTCAAAAGTCGGTACTTATATATATGTACTTGTTCATGTTTTGAAAATATTTCGAAAAAGTGAAAAAAAAAATAGTAACCATTCAGTATTCACACATTAGTTTTAAGTGACAGAAGGATTTAAATTTGTAGTGATTTACTTCCTCTTTTTTACTCGTCTTCTGGTCCGCGGCCTATTTTACAGCTTAATGTGTTTTCGAGTGGAGCTTTGTTGTAAGCCAGCTTTGAACACACGAGTTTTTAAGTGTCATTCTGATTTGGTTTTACAAGACTTGTTTTTTGAATTTGGGATAGGTACAAGACATAAATTACTTACCTATAAGTTAGGTCAGTCAGTAGTGCTTATAAATAAATATAAATATAAGTAGTTAGTTCGGTTAGGTAGGTAGGTAGGTAGGTAGGTAGGTAGGTAGGTAGGTAGCTAATTATCTTTAGGCCAATAATGCATGTCCATTAAAATGCCGACGGCAGATAGGACAGCAAGATTATTTTTTCAAATAACATAATGTTGCTTTTATTTTTTATAACCCAAGTATTTTATTATAAATATTAAGAAAAAAACTACTCTTTCGCAACGATATGGTGTAATTCTATTTTTTTTTAAACTTTGCCACACGCTAGGATTTCTCCTGTGTCGTGGGTGCATTTACATACAAATTCACATACGCAGCACAATCAGACCCGAAAAAATAATTTATGGATCACACAAAGAGCTGTTCCGTGAGGCAATCGACCCCGCGACACGTTGAGCGGCAGCCGGTTGCCCAGCCACCGCACCAACCGTGCAATCAATTAACTCGCCAGGCAATTACTCAGTCTGGTTAGACCTCCTTTTTCTAAATTAGGGAGAAAAAAAATTGCCTAGCCGAAGCAGCTGTTTAAAATTATGCCCTTAAATATATTCATTTTGTTCACAGGTGCAGTGTGTTGTGATGAAGAATACAGACTGGTTCGTCACCTCATGACGAGATACGATGCCTCCGTCAGACCCGTGGAAAACTCCTCGCAACCTCTCCTCGTCACATTTGGAGTGTCCCTGCATCATATTATCGATGTGGTTCGTATATTATTAACTTTTCTTAATATTATATTCGGCTACAGCCGCAAAATGTTTTCTTCCGAAAGCGGTAAACCGCAAAACCGCTCGAGACGCACGCACTACAGTTATAAACCCCAATACGATACTCGATATTTTTCATCTTAAGACCTTAACGAAGGACACACCGGGGCGTCGGGGATCGCGGGACGATCTCCGGCCACCGTAAGCGCGGGCCTGCGGACGGCGAGCATGGGTGACTCCCCGTCCGACCAGAAACAGACCCGAGCGTACGGCGCGTCGCGTTCCGCGCGCGCCTCAAAGAGCCATCAGACCACCACAGATGGGGCCCAATAGGGCCGATGCCGATTCGGAGTCGAAAACCTAACGGGTAACTGGGGCTCCGACTCGACGTGCAGGAGAAGGAACGGGGTGGTTTTTAGTCAGTAAGAGTCTGACACTCCCCCACCTCGCCTCACCCAGGCGGAAGAAGACATTCGATGATTTTCCCCCCATAAAAAAAAAGACCTTAACTAAGTTCCCATAAAAAGCCTTGTCTTACCTAGACTGAAGTAAAAGTATTGAGTATAACAATGTTACAAATACATAATATAATCTCCGTGAGGTGCACGGTGGTCATAAGTAGGTGTGAGTAGGTGACAGTAATGTATAACTGCTGAAAAACATGTCAAAATATGTAAGTCACATGAGCACCTCTGACTGCTGTTTCGACGCACAAAAAGACAGGCTTGATATTCAAAAAAATGTGATAAAAGTTGAAGTCTATTGTGTGAAAAGAATGAAATGAAAATTCTTTATAATGTCGCAAATCGCACATATGGGAATAATTTACCTTCAGAAGATAAATAATAACCGGTAGGGATGTTATTGTTGTAAGCATAATACATTTTGATGTCAGCCTGCCTGATATTCAAGTCTCTTTTGTGATTTTAACACGTTCAGTTCTAAGTACTACGTCCCAGATTCAAAGAAAGCTCCGGTGATTTAACAAAACAAGTTTTATCTCGTAACTTTATGGTTCAGTTTTCACTAAACGTCGAACTAGATTTTGAATTTAGTTTATCGATATATTTTAGGTGACAAATTGAAGTGCATTGTGGAAATAAATTGGTGGCAGTTAGGAAAAGAAATAAATAAGTGTAGCACTTTGTTCTACATATTCGAATATGAAAAGTAGTGCTGTACCCAGTGTACTTGTAAAATCACCATATGCGTCAAAACAATTTCTCTATACGAACTACAACTACCGTAAAACTTTCCATGTCCATTTTCTTAACCCATATTTCCACAAATCACCTTTTCCGCAGACCCTCTGTTTCTTTAGTGACTCAGCAAATATTGTCTTGAGTAATTGGGAAACTACGATGAGAACCTCTCTTCAAAATATTCTTCCTCGATGTTCAAAAAGTTCTTCTGTATGTGGTCCTACCTCCTAAAGGTCGTACCGCAATATAAAACTCCGTCCGTCGTCGAGAAAATTAAAACTGTCTTAGAAACTTTTTCAACTAATTAAATTGAGAAAAATATGAGATCATGAATCGTGATCTTGAGTCACATGGAATAAGTTCGTACCTAATTATCTTTTTGGAAATATTTTCTGAGGACAATTTTTGTTTGTAAGTAAATGTGAGGAGGTTTTTGTGACAAATTAGGACTTGGAAGGTTTTTTTTAATAAAATTAGGAGTTCATTATATTTGTGTTCCTTATTCGCTGCCATACTTTATGTCTAAAAATAAGATGAGTAAGATTTTAATTTTGTCATAACATGCAAAAGTTTTTATTATTTAAAACTTAGATATCTACGTAGATACTTAAAAATGTTTAAAAACGAGACGACCTTTATATTCTTCGTTCATAGTATGAGAAGATAACATTTATAATTTTAGTGTCTAGTAAAACCTAATGTTGCAAAATTTTGTAAAACCTAATGTTGTTTAAAATAAAATAAGGGAACAAGAGAATATTCACAATACGCCTACATTGTGGCTACTTTTGTACCTATCTAATGTCTCAAAGAGCTCTGGTGTACATTTATAATTTCACAGAGAATAAATTTTAAGAAGTGCGAATGCCTTAAAGGGCTTTATTTTGGCATTATCTTGTGTTCTAAGAATATATTAACAAGAACTTTGAAAACAGCTCGAATTTCTACAAGGGAACCAAGATAGCCTAATAAGATTAGATTTTTTCTTGAATTCAAGGAGTAAAGCTTAGAAAATTAGGTATTGATAAGGCTCAGTATCCCTTGGATTATTAATACTCTATATACTTTTATGATCAAACGTGATTGATGATGATTTGACTCGTGTTGGCAAGAATATGTTTGTATCAAAAAGTATCGCTTCATTGAATTTTTAGTACATTTTTTATCAGTTGACTATTCGTTATTAGGAAAAATACACTGCTGATTTACGAGAGACTTTTCAGTACCTTACCTAAACCTTCTTGTAGATTGAAATTTGTCTGCTTATCAGTTGGAAAAGCTGTTACAAAACCTACAGGCAGCGAGTAACTTAATTGTATCATTTTTTCACCAGTATCAGTTCCCCTTTTGCCAATTTTTGTATTAACCATCCCCGATAATGACCGCGCTTCAAATCTGGTACAAAAACGGTGCTTGGACGCAAGCGGTCGTTAGTCGTATCCTCTTCATTGTCTTCATTCAATAAATGCTCCCCAAACAGATTGAATGCTACATTACCTTTCAATTGTGTAGAAACAATTTTTCTTTAACTTTCCTTTTTTTCTTGATATATGGCGGTAAACGAACAGATGGATCACCTGGTAAGCAATTAGTGTTGCCAATGGACACCCACAACACCAGAGAAATTAGAAGCGCGTTGCCAGTCTTTTGAGGATTTGGGGATCAGGGATAGGGTGGGGTTTGGATTGGGGCTTTGACCTTTTTCTTCTTAGGTTCTTAATTTGGTCGTACTAAGCTTATAATGAAGATTTCTCATCTCCCCAGTTTAGTTAAATAAAAGTTAACGACTCTAATGTTTTACTTAATTATAGCTAAGTTGATGTCATGAAAATAATTGTTATTTGCGGTTGGTGGACCTTTTTGTTAATTTAATAGTCGTTCGTAAAAATTCTCTGGGTTTTGTTTGTGAAAGATAGAAATTGTGGGTATTGTAAACGACTTCATAGTTTATCCAGATATTATGTCTATTGTACCTTCAATTTTAACAAATTATTTTCGGTAACATGTTTTCATAAACAAACGAAACTAATGATATGCTTAGTTTTGGTTTATAATTTCATTGACATATATTGGTTTACATTTTCATCAGAATTTTTAGTTTTGGTTTATGTTTTCATTGGGTTTGTTTATAATTTCTCGTCGGTTATAGGTATAATCAGACTAAAAGTCCTTAAAAATTTGAAAGTTTTTAGCACTACTTCACACCTTTGAGTAAATCCACACGAATAACTTATCATTTCGACATTTGAAAGTTACATTCTAGATTATCATTAAAAACCTACTTACTTAACACATGGTTCATAAGTAAAACATTCAATAATATTTTTAGGCAATATTTACAAAGTTAAAGATAGTAACTGCGTTTAGGGGAGCTCGTGAATTTCCGACCGTTTTATTAAATTTTATAGGCAAGGTTCGGTGTAGAGGTATTCGTTTGTCAAGCCAATATAGGCAGTCGGGGGATCAGCGGTGTTAGTAAAATAGGCGACATAGGACTTTATTTTTGGACATTGTGCCCAATTATAGGTTTTAATGTTACTAACTGTATACTTTCTTAATGTTCTGTCGTTAGGTCAAATAGGTTTAGTGTGTTTGTAAAGGATGGGGTAAGTTCGATACTTAGCTTCAGCAAAAGATATTGTTTAGTTTTTTATTTGCACTATGCACAATCCGGTCCTACACAAATTGATTCCTAAAACTAAGCCTCGTTGTAGTCTTATCATTGCTTAATGCATTTATTAATGAATTGAGTTGTAGTTATTTATATATTTTAACTTGTATTAATTATCGAACGACGATGACCCGTAGATATATACCTTCTGGACTAGCATAAATAATGTGATGTGCAGTTGTACTCACTTAGAAGATAACTCTATGTGACTCTTTATACAACGTAAAAGGTTACCGGGGCTCCGGCTCGAAGTGCAGGAGCAGGAACGGGGTGGTACTTAGTCAGTAAGTCTGACACTCCCTCTCAGCTCATTCGGGTGGCAGTGGCCATTTGAAGATTTCGCCCTTAAAAAAAACTTACTTTTTTACAAATAATTAAACTCACGATGAAACTCATGATTACCTAAACTTTGTCATAAATGTCATTAAGTAAGACATGTTCTTACATACGCATTATACACACAATACACATGTACCCAGCTACGTGTATTGTGTACCGTCTTCAATTCCACGTTCACGTCACTGACGTAGAATTCTACACCAAATTAATCGTAGTAATTATTAAGGACTTATGATAAGTAACATAAGCTTGCGTACGTATTAAACGTCTGATTATTGTAATATCTCTTTACGTTTCTCATATAAAAGGCTTGTCATATTCATTCCTCTATTAAAGCGTTATGTAATAGGAACCCTAAGTTAGTACTAGCAAATGGCCTCTTGATGACATGTGTGTTATAAAAGAGAATCTGTTGCAGACGTTATTAAAATTAAATAGCTTTTTAAATGATGAAATATGAGTTATATAGTTTAGTTTTGTTTTTAATTTGTTGCAAATTATAAAATATTTGAGTTCGTGTTGTAGCTATCTTTTTATATTTATTTCTAGATACGAGTAGCCTAACTTTAATATTTGTATAACTATTTCTCTAAAGGTAGAACAATTCCTGTGTAATTTGTATCCAGTCATGTCATAACATTCATATTAATGTTAATCGTACGCTTGTACATTTTAAATTTTTATCTGATTTTAATCTCATACCTACTACAATTGCCAATTATACCTTGTGAGATTACGCTTAAGACATTTTTTTACTTTACGCAATAAACATCAAATAAGGTACT